GTCAAGAACCAAAAACAAACCAAGACGGACAATGGTAACTATTTTACCACCAACATTTAATAATTGGTAGTCATGAATGGATAATGGTAAATTATTTACCACCCAAAAAACTACCCCTTCCCCTATTTTTTTATTAATTTTGATCAAAAATATGAAATAAGTGACCCACAATTACCCAAAATCCACTTTAACTTTGTAAAAAAAATGCATACCTCGCATTTGAATAAGGGTTAAACTGAAAACAAAGTGGATTTAATTTCCCACCTCTTTATAGCAATGTTGAATTAAGGTCATGAGTACTACAACAGTAAAAGTAACAGAGTAACAACAGGTTAATGTTAGCAACGCGCAGTGACGCCTAGTTGGCTGGATAGTTGCTCAATTTCAATTTTTTTTTTGTTGAGCTAACTTTAACTTCGGGAGTTCGTTTTGGGCAGCCTTCGGGAGTGGACGTGCGCAACACGTGCGCTCCAGACGGTCCGACTGTGATAACCGGCTAGCCAGTCACTATCACAGAAGTAGGTCGTGAGTAAAAAGAGTGTATAAGATAACAAGATGTTTATTCCGTCTTATTCCTGGCACATAGCTGACCGAGAGATAGTCTAATGTGAGGGAGGACACTGGCCTGANTCCTAGTCCAATAACACTTAAAGCAAATATTTTAATAGCTACTTCAATGCTTTTTGGAGCATATCCAATATGTCATGTAAATCGAATTGTAAAAGACCCCTCAGCTATGTATACTCTCGAACTCGGACTTAGTTCCGACATGTTCTGGTTAGTTAGATAAGCTTTATACTCTTTTGTGAAATTATCGCGATTGTATTGCTATAAATCTGACTGAGATAGGACGTACACGTACAGTCTTTGATGTCAGGATGAAAAAGAATGTGCAAATACCACCATTACCACTTATCTCATTACAAAAGGGAAAAGGGTTCAGAAAACCATAGATGACTAACTTGATCCAATGCTATGATTATCAATATTATTCAGGACTCTAATGAATCATATTTAAGTCAGATCTTGATGATAAAGAGAAAAGTCTTCAAAGTTCTGTANCATCGCCAATGCTCGATAGCGACCAAAACAGCTAAAGCTTCTCTCTCCGTTATACTATAATTTCTTTCAGCTGCAGACAAGGACTTACTCATGTACGCTATAGGACGTTCAACACTATCAACGGTTTGAGTGAGCAGGGCTCCTATACCATAGTCACTCGCATCAGTGTGAACCTCAAATGGCTTGTCGAACTCTGGGCAAGATAAGGTTGGAGCAGATGTAAGACATTTCTTAAGTTTGTTAAAGGCCTCGTCTGCGTCTTTCGTCCAAACAAAAGAGGTGGCTTTCTTTTTACAAGTGGATGTTAACTTGTTCAGCGGGTCAGCGATGGAGCTGAAATTAGGCACAAATCGCCTGTACCATGAAGCAGTACCGAGGAACCTTTTAACTTCCTTTTTATTCGTTGGAGTTGGAAAGTTAAGGATTGCTTCTACTTTGCCTGGATCGACGTGTAATCCTTTTGAATTAACTATATAGCCCAAATATTTAAGTTCGTTCCGAAAGAATACTGACTTTTCTAGATTTATAGTTAGATTAGCTGATTTTAATTTATTATATACTTTTTCTAAAAGAAATATGTGTAAAATAAATCTCGGAGGCGAAAACAGGATAATTCAGATCGAACTTCACTTGGTAAGTTCGTTTGATCATATAATAAAAAACTGTGTGTAGTTGCCAAGTAAACATTGGCTCCGATAAATTCAGTAATTAATAATATTAATACTCAAATATTTTTCACTTTTTGTCAATAATTTTTATTGTTGGCGTAAGCTCTTTATGTGGTGATATAAGTTTCTCCAATTAAACATCAATTCGTCGAAAAATCAATCATGGTCAAGTGCGGTGCCTGTGGAAGTGACTTGAAAGCAAAGGATAGCACAATAACGTGCTCTAAATCGTCATGCAGGCTTCAGTGTGCCGCAGGGATCAATATTGGGACCTTTGCTATTTCTTATTTACATTAATGACCTTCCTTACTTTGTAAAAGATCTGTGTGATATTGTGTTATTTGCTGATGACACATCTCTCATTTTCAAAGTTGATAGAGGTAGGGTAAATTTTGACGATATTAATAACACACTCTCACAGGTTCTACATTGGTTCAACAACTTATTGTTAAATGCAAACAAAACTAAGTGCATTAAATTTAGCTTACCTAATGTGAAGCAGGTTTCCACGCAATTAATGGTGAAGAATGAACCATTAAATAGCATAAATTCCACAACATTCCTGGGAATCACTTTAGATGCTAAACTTCAATGGGGTCCTCATATTGAAACTTTGTCAAAAAGGCTCAGTTCGGCTGCTTTTGCAGTGAGAAAGATAAGGAAATTAACTGACATTGAAACGGCAAGGCTAGTATATTTTAGCTATTTTCATAGTATAATGTCATACGGCATATTGTTGTGGGGATCAGCCGCGGACATTGAAACTGTGTTTGTTCTGCAGAAGAGAGCAGTGCGGGCCATTTATAACCTTGGACCCCGATTTTCCTTGAAAGATTTTTTTAAGGAAATAAACATACTGACAGTAGCTTCACAGTTCATTTATGAAAACCTTTTATATGTCCGCAAAAATATAGAGCAATTCACGTAAAAGAGCGATTTGCATAACTTTAATACAAGAAACAAAAATAAACNATGTATGTAATCGTTATTGAATTATGCTTGGTGAATCTTTGACATCGACAATTTCTGAATTTTTGACATTGAGTATCTACTATTGACATTTATATTGACATCTTACATTGATAATATTTTAATGGAATTTGTTGAAATGTTTAATAATTAATTAATTTAATATTTGCATGTCAGAAATGACTAATTGTGAGACCTAACCATTAACTGTATCCATCTCCTGTACCACATTTATAGCAAATAAATGATGATTCTGATTCTGATTCTGAAAGGAACTGCCTCCTCGACAGTGCTTCTATACAAGTTTAAGTGATTCTACTGTTTCAGAGTCTGATTATAAACATGCTAATGATGCCTGGAAATAATTTAATCCCATCAAAAACAATACTTACCAGGAAATCTTTAACGTTTTACATAAATTATTGACTTGGCCATCGCACTAAATAATTTAATTTACACGTGTTTTCATGCGATGGCCAAGTCAATATATTTATGTAAAACGTTAAAGATTTCCTGGCCTGGACTTGGTATTACATGGATCTCACAACTTTTTACCGTAGAACAACTGAGTTGCGAGACTTGGTTTTTTTGACAATTATACTTCGTATCTCTCCCGAAGATGATTATGTTTTACATGTAGCAGTACCTGGGATGATGCCGTCCTTATCACACTTTTAGAGAATATTTATTTAAATATATAAGTTTTAAATATAATAAAGTACGTGTTTTGACTCCTCAGCACCGTAGTACATTCCGCGGTCCGCCATATTTCTTGTCATTACTTGTGTTGGTGTTCGTCCGACTCACACGTACTTTTTCAATAAAAATAACTTNCAAATTCGAGTGTAGAGTCTCCAACCTTCAGAGGAGTGGGTGCAACACGGACATTAGACATGATTTTTGTCTTGTCCATGTTCATTCTGAGGCAGACTTGTTGAGAGGCTCTACGGAGGCCATCGAGCATTGTGCCTAGATCCTCCAAGGTCTCAGCCATGACTACGATATCGTCCGCGAATCGAAGGTGGGTGATGTACTCGCCGTTGATATTTATGCCAAATCCGTTCCAGTCCAGAAGCTTGAAGACATCTTCCAGGGCGGTGGTAAACAGTTTTGGAGATATTTTTTTTTAACTATTAGTTTCGTTTCATTTGGCTGAAACGAAACTAATAGTTAAAAAATGTACTAAAAGTCAAGTTAAACATTGTTATAAAAACATTTTTTTTCTGTTATTTAACCACTTGTCATTTGACATCTGTCAAATTTGACTATTGGTTACTTTAACTACGAATACATACTATTTTCATACGTATGTAATGTAATTTTTTAGGGTTCCGTAGTCCTGACAAGGAACCCTTATAGTTTCGATATGTCTGTCTGTCTGTCCGAGGTTTCGCTTGGAAACTATTGGCACTGGGGAGCTGTAATTTTGTGAAGGTATGTATTTTAATAACGCCGACAAAATAAAATTTAAAAAAATAAAAAATCTAGGGTAGCTGCCCCTGCATGTAAAGTGGGGATGAATTTTTTCAAGGAAAATTAACGGTTAAGATACATTACTTAATTTAAGAGTAATAGTCATTTGACTCATGTATTATACAATTTCATATTATGAAAAATGACTTTAGATGAAGTAATTGCTTGCTTCTGAAATATATTTTGTTAACGACAGACAACTACGGAACCCTACACTGCGCGAGCGATTCCGATGACGTAAAAATTACGTGATATTTTCCGAGACCCCCCCTCTCCCCCACGTGAGATTTAGTGAGGTTTTCGTTGACCCCCTCCCTCCCCTTAAAGTCTCACGTAATTTATGGACGCCCCCTAAATTTAGGCCGGATATCCGGCCTACCGGATAGTTACCGGATATCCGTTTCATCTCTAGTATTAAGTGTACATCGAAATGATTTTCATAGCAATGTCATATTGTTAGAAGTTATACCTTATTGTTAGAAGTAAATAAATTAATACCTATACATTTTTNGTAGACATTGATCTACTTATCTAATAAGTGTGCTTGACGCCTAAATTTATTAATCGACATGCCAAATAAGTCTAGTTCAGTGCTGTACTCATTATACAATTTACAGAATCTAGATATTGGGGAGTAGGATCCAGATACCGTTTTTCTGAAGGGCGGACACAGAATTTTGATTGGATATCTAGGATATTTGTAGGGAACTTTAAGATTGAGTTTAGATAGAAGATGTGGACAGTCAACAATTCCATTTATTAATTTAAATAAAAATATAAGATCGAGTGCAGTTCTACGGTTTTCTAAAGGTTTCATTTTAAACTGATCTAGTCGTTTTGAGTAGCTCGGAATTTTTTTAGCTTTACCTGTAGAATAGGCTAAGTGATTAAGAAACCGTTTTTGGACGCGTTCCAGTCTAAGTGTATGAGTTGCGTAGTGTGGACGCCAAACAACCCCACCATACTCCAAAGTGCTACGAACAAGGCTATTATAAAGAAAGATTTTGGTAGCTGACTTTCGAAATGATTTTGTGTTCCTCATGATAAAGCCAAGTGTTTTAAAAGTTTTTTTAATAATGTAATCGATATGAGGAACAAATGTTAGTTTTTTATCCAGTAGTATGCCAAGATCCCTTATTATGTCAACTCTATTCAGATGCAAACCGTGCATAGTGTAGTTATGCATGATTGGGTTCAATTTACGAGTGAAGGTGATTTGAGAACATTTCTTAACATTGAGCTGCATGTTATTATTAGTGCACCAATGTTCAAGCCTATCGACATCACTCTGAAGCAGCAGTGCATCCCTATGAGAACACACCACACGGGCAATTTTCAGGTCATCGGCAAACATGTATGGCGAAGAGTGGACAAAGCAGTCTGGTAAATCATTTATGAAGATATTGAAAAGAATGGGCCCCAGATGTGAACCTTGAGGTACGCCGGAAGAGATGTTAAATATGTTAGATTTATACCCGCTAACAACCACATAAAAAGATCGATCAGCTAAATAGGATTTTATCCAATTGAGCAGGGAGCCGGAAAACCCGTAAGCTGAGAGTTTCTGAACTAGCACGCTGTGTGAGACCGTATCAAAGGCTTTGCTAAAGTCAGTGTAGACTGCATCTATTTGTTTATTAGAATCAACAGACTCTATAGCATTTTCAACAAAACTTAACAAATTACTACTCGTCGAACGAGCAGGGGTAAATCCATGTTGGTGAGTTGATAAATATTTTTTAAAGTAATTTTGAACCTTAGGACAGATCAGTGCCTCAAATACTTTCGCCATAGTTGGTAAGATTGAAATTGGTCTGTAGTTTCCAACANTGGATTCAATCCCGGTGATACAAGAAGCCAAAACTGTTGAGTAACATGGGCGGATGTTATGTAATAGAATTTCTAACTGATCTTGTTCACTTAATTTTTTCGTTAAGCGTGAAAAAAGTTCTGACATTATAGCTAAATAGATGATAATATTTTCTTGATCACCCTGAGTCCTATTTCGTATTTCTGACATAAGCCTGTAGTCGTAGTCTACCGGGCTAAAATCCTCTATAAGCTGGGCTATTAACTCATCCCAATCATTAACAGAGTCACGCACACTGCGATACCAGTGAAGTGCATTTCCAGTAAAAATATCAGCTGCGTACATTAATAATTTATTTGAGGGTAGGTTACGAACGGTTTTATACTCATTCATTCTCTGCACAAACGCGTGAACGCAACTTTTACCGTCGTATTTAATTTTCAGATCTGTTGTGTTAGAATGATCGCAATGTACAGTAATAGTGGATGAATTGTCGCCTGATGAAGAAGGACTTGGCTCTGAAGTGGCACTTTGTGGTGAAACAGATTTGTTCATGGTCATTAATTTACCAGAAAGTAAATCAAATTCTTTGTTTAAAGATTTTATTTGAGAAGCAAATGATGAATCTGATTTATCGAGCCGCTTCAGCCGATAGTAAATGTGATTATGCAAAGTCGTAGTTCTTTGAAACAAATTAAAATCATATTTTTCATGTAAACTATTCACTTTTGAACCTAATTCTTTAATAGAAGTAAAAACACCCTCACAGTCCTCAGAAATAGGTAAACCAGAATCTATGATTTCATCGTCTGGTACCGATAATATAATTTTATTTATTTGTTTACGCAACCCTAGAACAGTGCTAGCTGGTTCCTCTCCTCTAATAAGAACCTCGTATGATAATTCGTTTTTGTTAAGTAAGAAATATTTGATAGGGTGAGTTCCCATTTTACCTTTTAAAGCAGCTAAAGCAACCTACAAAATAATTCTAGTAACTACGATTAGGATGTCTACGTTGTGGGGTAATTAATTATATAACTACCTACGCTAGAAATAAAAATAAATCAGAAATAAAATGCAAAATCAACACTTTCAAATTGCGAACTGTTACGTACTCACTTAACAATAGTACTATGTATTACTAGATTTAAAATAGCACCCACAATACTGCACNATGGACAGGGACCACCTTAGCAAGCTTCCATTGTTTTGGGAAAATACCAGAAGAGATTTATTGAAAATGATAGATAGCGGGATTGCCAGCTCATCAGCACAATTCACGATGAAGAATGCGGGTATATTATCGGAACCAGGCCCCTTTGTGACGTCCAAAGTTTTAAGATGTTCCACAATAGTTTCAGTATCGATCTCTAATTTAGAAAAACAGTCCGAGTTTGATTTTAGGTTACTTAAATAAGAAGAGGACTCAATAGCATTGAAAACGCCAAAAACCGACGAATAAACGGATGCAAAATATGTACCGAACATATTGCAAATTTCAACACCATCATTCACTACCTTATTTATTATTATATTTTCATAGCTCCATTCTTCAGATATATTATTACCATGTAGTTTCCCTAACGTACTAGGTAGTGTCGCACTTTTAGATTTGTATCGATTGTTCTTACTCGATTTCCGATTTCAAACCGTCATCTATGGGTCTACGCATCACTAGCGCTCCCGCGTTTTGCTCATTCCTTTTTTGTGCGCGGTAGTGAACGCACGTCACTTCAAGTTATAACAAACGCGTAACCGTTACATTTCAAATATGCCGAAACGCAAGGCTGAAGATAAAATAAAGCGTTACAAAGAAAAAATCAAACGTTTAGAACAAAAACATAAAGTGCATAAACGTCGACGAAATATTATAATTTCCGATTCAGATTCTGATATCGAAAACCAGGGTAAGTAAATATATTATATTATACGAAATAAAAGTGTGCAATACAGCGTCTATAAGTCTGCCTGGAGGGTAACCGCGAGTTATACACGATGGCTAGACATGACGCAAAAATCTACGCCTGGAGTTTGACCGTGAGTCACACACGAAGGCAAAATACGTTCTTAGATACATTATGAACATAATATAACGAATTTAAAAAGTAAATACCTACATATTATATTATTAATGAAGTGTTAAAATTTCACAAATAAAAATTCATAATTATTTTTAGTTTTTATAGTCCCCTCAAAAAAAAAAAAAAAAAAGACTATATTTTACTTTATACTTTCAGATATCCAAATACCTGAAAATTATAATGTCGAGGACGTTGAGTGTGCAGTCAATGGCCCTGCCGGAACAGGCCGATTGCGGCACTCTGGGTCAGAACCCCTGAAAGGAGCCCTGCCAACAAATTTACGAATCGCGGTTCGCTCGCCCACCACCAATAAACAACCACTTACCGGTGGGAGGAGGCTTTTCTTCCACGTACGAGTGGACAGGGTGGTTTCTTCTGATCCTCTTTTGAAATCTAGCGACCTATTTACAGAAATAAATGAGTTTTAATGAGTTTTTGAGTATCACTGCGGTTGTGTCGGCCTTAAGAAAGGAGACCCAACATGGGTATGCCCTGAGTACAAAGCAAAACCGGGTCGTCGTGGAGACAACACTGACACGCCGGTGAAGGATGCGGCCGGCAGCAGCGGCGAGTTTGTGAACACAGACACTAGGAAGCGGCCTACAGGTGCAGCGGTCGGTGATGAAGAGCCCCCGAGGGATGTGATTGCCACAATAAAGGCAGAGATTGAAATTGCAATCCAACAGGCTTTACCAAAGTTTTTGGCAGATGTCACTGCATCAGTCACCAAAGCCATTGAGAAAAGGTACTTGGAACTGGAAAAGTCAGTGAGTACGTTAAGTGATCTCTTCGAAGGTGTAAAAAGTTCTGCTGCCAAAAATTCAGCTACCATTAAAAAACTACAATCGGCGAACACTAACCTAAGCTCGCAGCTGAAAGCACTACAATCTAAAGTGAACAGTATGGAGGAAGCGTCTTTAAGGCAAGAGCAATGGTCCAGGCTTCAGAATGTAGAAGTGGTCGGTGTCCCTGAGAACGTTGGCGAATCACTCCCAGCCATAGTGGAAAATATCGCGAAGCACCTCAACGTTAACATCAACCCAAAGGATTTGGATTTCATCCATCGTGTCCAAGCAAAGAGACAAGTGAAAGGAAAACCTCGTAATTTGATAATCCGCTTCCATAATCGCTCTAAAAAGGATGAGGTATTGTCGGCTGCGCGAAAGCGTCACGGCTTAACCTCAAAGGATGTAGGAGTGCAGGGCGAGTTATGTCATATTTATATAAACGAACATTTATCTGTTCATAACAAGCAGCTACTAAAAAGCTGCAAGTCTAAAGCTAAAAACTCTGGTTATAAATTTATTTGGACAAAAAACTGCCGTATTTATACAAGAAAATCAGAAAACTCGCCTTACATTCTAATATCCTGCGAGGAAGATTTAAAAAATATTACCTAATACTTTGCTTCACCATGTTATTAATAATCAGAAAATATTATCACTACGCCATAATTACTATCTTAGTTTCAACCCTATGCTGGTCGCACGTTAATAACATTGTACACTTACCTCGTCTACACATACATATTTCATACACAATCTCATTTACACTTCACATAAACACCCCTACGCTCGTTTTGTATTACGTCACATTGAGTAGTAATCTATCATTTAATTTTGTTAGACCTCAACATTCCAGTGACTTATTTTATTTTTCCACAACAAAAACTCAATTTGATGCTTCGGCAATTGGCAGAAACAAACAAATACAAGTGCCGTTCATAGGAACTGATCGTAACACCTATTGTAAAAAGGCGCGTTCAAAATAAATAACCTAACATTTCTATACCAGAATGTTCGCGTCCTTAGAACTAAGACAATAGATTTAATGATTAAACGAACTTAAAAAGTGAAGTTCTATCATAATTATGCGAGGGCTTTGTCCAAAGAGATTAGAAATAAGAACTATGTAGTATCACGTACGGTGATGCCAGTTTACGCACTGTTAGTTGAGGATATTTTTTTTTTTTTTTTTTTTTGTGGGTATCTCAGTTTACATCCCATTTGACATTGGTATCCGTCGTCAGTTAGTTTGGAGTAGTAATTTGTATTTTTTATCATTTCACTAATATGGGGGTTTGTGTTTTTAANCTGAATGCAGGCCGCCACCATTTTTGACGATTTATCTTGTCAAGAAGATTATTATGATTGATAAACTAAAACCTTCTTGTTGGTTCAACCTGCCATTATTATTTCTATTAAATAAAAAAAACTATTGTCAATTGGTCAATGTCATCATTGCATTGCACTGATGGGATAAAAAAATAAACAAGCAAAACCTTATTCGTTAGCAAACTTCATATTTATTTAAATATTAGCAGCACTGTTTCTTGCACTGTTATGTTGGCAGGTTTGACTCTTACAGTACCTAGTGCAAGCGAAAACCGACACTAAGGTGACGAACCTTTTCATTCCGCGACTGTACATCGATAATATATATCAAAAAGGAACGAATTACAAGCATATTCAAGTTTTTTACCACTCTCTACAATTTTTGTAACACGTGATTTGAATGACTCTAAAATTCCTTCCGCCAACATAAAACAGGGTAATATAATGAAGGAGTAAAAAAGTTTGTTTGATACCTGTGATTTTACAAAAACACTTTAATTATTTGCTAATCCATATAGGCTCATTATCAGTAACCATTCATTATCAGGTGATCCGTCTGCTCGTTTGCCTCTTGTCACATAAAAAACCAAATGCAATGGATACCCATAACATAAAGATTTTGATTAAAATCATTATTTTATTGTAAACAATCCAGAATTCTTACGAATATAACCAAATATTAATTTTATAGCACATGAACTCAATTCCGATATTAATATCGGAATTCCGATATTGAGATCTAATATCGGAATCCAATATCGGAATTGAAAACCTTCCGATATTACATGCCCTATTTTTTTTAATTAGTTTCCACTTCTGAATCTTATATCAGAAGTGGGATAAAGGACTACTTTCGCCCACCTGTATATTTAAATGATTTACTAAAGCTAATTATAAGAAAATCGTATCTGTTTTCAAGTAACAAAGCAATTGCAAGCTTATTTAACTACCTGCTTTTTGTATTTTTTTTTGTTTTGTGAATTTATTTCTGTGAGTGAGTGATAAAATGGTGCGTACTGGATCCCGTAACCGTAAACGAAAGCATACTCGAGGTCGGTCGCGTAAGCGTCGTAACTCTCGAAGTAGGGAAGTCTCGCAGAGTAGGTCGCGTGATCGTAGTGATGGCGTTTCGCGACATAGCTCGAGTAGTGCACGGCATAATTCGCGGAGTGGCTCTCGTGTCCGAGATCGGCGTGATTCCTGTAGTGCCGAAAGACACCGTTCGCGCGGTAGGACTAGGCGTCGCTCGCGTAGCGATTCGAATTCTCGTCGTCGGTGTCGCTCGCGATTTAGCCGTTGCAGGTCTAGGTCGTTGTCGTGTAGCAAATCACGTAAACGAAACCGAGATCGATCACAAAATTATGGCAGCGATAGATCGCCTCCTATTTCGCGTAATGTTTCGAATAACCATGAGCATCAAACGCGACCCGAACGCGATTCTATACCTAGGGAGCCAAGCCCGTGTGCACCGCATCGACAGGCCTCGCTAGGCTCGGGTGTCGCGTCCTCTGAGGCATCCACTCTTGCAAATGCTTTAATGCAAGCTATTAAAACCATGCAACCTTCGAAGTCACAAAGCTATTACGTGTCTAATTTCGATCCTCTGATAAATAACATTGAGGCATGGTGCGAAGAAGTGGATCGCGCCAGAGACGCGAACGGCTGGAACGATCACGAGTGCCTCTCGCGTGTGGCCTCATGTCTAAAGGGTGATGCCAAAGTGTGGTTGAGCGAGTGGGTTTCGAACGATAGAACATGGTCTAACTTCAAAAAGGAATTTGTGTCTCTGTGTCCCAATAAACTCGACTACGCTAACATTTTATTAGACGCCATGAACACGACGTCAGACAAATATTCGACTTTTGCGGAATACGCGCGTCGCACTTTGTTACGCCTAAAAATAGTTCAAGGGTTAAGCGATGAGTTGAGGACACTCATTGTTATCCGTGGAATCGACAGTCCACAAGTACGTGCG